GCCGCCGCCCCGCAAGACACGGCGGCGCCCTCAGCGGCCCGGCCCGCCGCCGCCGCCGGAGCGGGGATCCGCGCGGAGGTAAGAGCTGCCCTGCCTGCCCGCCGCCCCTCTGGCCCGGGGTTCCCGCCCCTTGTTTCGTTTTGTTTGGTTTTTATTTTGTTATTCTCAGGCATCGCTGTCTCTGCAAATTGCAAGAGTTGCAGCTGTAAAATTGTACCTTTGAAGATTTCGGTATATTGCCAGTGTTTCTCACATTGAGCATTGCCTTCCTGGGGCAAAAGCATGCACCTCTGTAATTTCTGCATCTCACACCACATCCCACCCCCCTAGGCACTCTGCACACTTTTATGGATTGAATTTTAAATCATTTGGGTGAGGTACTAGGACTTGACATTTTAAATACATTATAAAATTTCAACTACTTAATTCTGAGCCAAAATGTGCCCTTTAAAGCAAGCACATATTGCAAGTACACAAAAACCCCCCAACTAATACACTTGACATTATGGTCCAAATATGCAGTTGGGTTATTCTGAAAGCCATCAACAACCAGAATCTAAGTACACTTATATAGTGTAGTCTGTTTTGAGCCAGCACCCATCAGTAGGGGTGTATGTGACACACAGCATCGTCGTAATGCCTTCTGGTGTGTCACAATTTACTTAATTCATAGAATCATAGAATCCTTAAGGCTGGAAGGGACCTCTAGAGATCATCTAGTCCAACCCTCTGCACACGCAGGGTCACCTCGAGCCGGGGAGGGACAGGGCTGCATCCAAGAGGGTTTTGAAGATCTCCAGAGAGTTATCAAGTTCTGGATAAAAACTCATTTCCATACACTTGCCTGAATGATAAAGCACTTTCTGAATACATCATTCCGCGCTTTTAAATTATGAAGTGTATCTGAATACTCCCCTTTGCAGTCAGTTCTCTCAAGCATTAAGACCAAAAAAAATGAAGCTTTCGTTTTTAAGAATGAACAAGCCATTTAACAAAGCTTCAGATCCTCTACTGCTTGTTTAAAGAAAAAAAAAAAAAGGCAGCACAGTGCTAATGTATCTCGATGGTCCTATTTTGTCTATGATTTCAAGCATATGAATCAGAAAATGTTTCCGGTTTCCAGTATGGTGTAAATTAAAAGTTCTGCACAAAAGTCCTGTCAAAATATATACTTTATGAACTAATTGAAGATTTAGATATGTTTAGTTTTCATCCTTTCTTCTCTATACATGACATACCCTGATGTTTGGTTAAATATACTGTCTTTTAAGTGTTTTTAACAGAGGATAAAGTCCTCAGGCTCCAGTTTAGCATGAAAGACTTCAACAAATGTGTAAATCTGCATATTTTATTTGGAAGTCAACAAGGATATATCCTGGAGTTTCATCTACTCTGACTGTGTAAGATTTTTATTAGAATTGTGAAGAAAAAAAAAGATCTTCTGAAGTTCTTAGTAGATGGCAAAATAAATACAAGAATGTTGTGTTTGAATGGGGAAGTGATTGCATTTCTTTTTCTATTTCACAAATAACAGCTACAAATCCCTATTTTAACATATCTACTGCTGGATTGCAGAACTGGACATTGCTGTTACTAGCTTCTGGATGTTTCATCTACTTGCTTGATAGTTTCATTATGCCAGTAAACAAATGAATGTTCCTGTGTTTAACACAAGAGGTCATACTAATCACACATCATGTTAAAACAGTTAGAGGTTTCATTTTAGTTCCTCTTGGTGAAATCTTACCACAATTTCAAGTTCTGAACTAGGAACTGGTGGCAGTTTGCTTTCACAAGTAGAGAGGAAAACCTTCTTCTCAGGAATGAAACAGCAAGTTGCCATTTAATCTAACAAGTATCTTTTAAAAATACTTTTAAAGTTCACATTTAAACTTTATTTAATTTCAGAAGTATTTATTATCAGTTGAATTGCTGTATTCTTTCATATGACCATATACATTGCAATTAGCATGGGCAGCTTAGAACTGCTAGGACTGACTATGATAGCAACAGTGAACCCCTGTGCATCAAATGTGAGCTCTTTGGGTTTGTGGGCTTTTCATTTTTATTACTTTTTCATTATGAACTGCTTGAAACTACTCTTACTGATCATGAAAGCTGCTGCTTTGCCAAGGAGACTGTTCTTACACAAACTCATGTGTTCATTTGTATAAAAAACGTGTGTGAGAGTGAGACAGAGACAATTACTGCAGGTCTCACTGATAATGATTTTTGTGGAAGATGGTTGGAAAACACTTTTTTTGCCTTTATTTTTCTTCTTTTTTTTTCTCAAACCAAGTAATTGCAAGAACAAGATAGAAACTGTTGAAAAAAAATGTACCAGAAGTGGGACAGGAAGCTCAACAGACATAGGAAAAATCAGATTTCCGAGAGCCAAAAAGCCCACTGTAAAGTATCTGAAGTGACAGCTAATGACAAGTCATTTTTAAATCTTGCATAGATTTAGATAGAAGATACAACACCCACAGGACACAATAAAGCTATAAGAAAGCTATTCTGGCTTTTATCCTGTTGCCCTTACTCACGCCAGGCTCCTGTCACTGAGACTTCTGTGCTTGTAAAAGGATCCAAGTAAACAGGAAAATATAGATAGAAAAAATAAATAAATAAAATAGGAAATTCAGTAACAGCCTTTTGGCCTGTGTAGGAGGCAGGTCCTGCACAAGACATGGGAAAGCACTGAAGGAAAAGCAGCTGTGCTCACACTGAAAGAATAGCCGGCAGGTGCGCAGCAGGGCACCTACGCACACCGGAGGATGCCACTCGGTGAAAGCAGAGCCACATGAAGGAGAACAGCGCTAACGCACACAGCAGTGGGGGAACAAAGGACTGCTCGGGGTATCCACGCAGCAGTAAAACTGCTGTGTGAGACACCACCAAAATGGTTGCAGAGCAGCCGCTGGCACAGCGAGACCAACAGCAGCGGTGCGAGCCACATGTACACGCTACCGTTCGGAGAGCATCTGGCAGGGTTTCACCTGCCAGGTGGCCCTGACAGCCACCTCGGTAATTCCTGGCGCTTATTCCTGTGCTCCGGTAGGAATCCCACCCCTGCTGGCCCTGCGCTCGCTTCCAGGGCTTATGAAACCTTGCCTCACTTCTGGCGGAAAGGAGAGGAAACACCAAATAACAACTCCATGCAGGGGGTACAACGTTGCGTGAGGAGGAGGAAAGGACAGGGTTTACAGTTTCTACTTTGGATTTCCTGCTCTTCCACTGATCTGTACATTACTCTGCTCCTAGTGTATTGCCAGTGAAAGTGCAGGCATGTTCTGGATCAAAACGAGCACGTGTGCAAGGCGGCATTGAGAATAAGCAACAGACAAGGGCCCTGGGTTGGCAGTTTTTACATCCTAATCAAGATTTTTCAAAAGTGGGGATGCAGCCTAGGAAGTAAGAACAGGATTCAGAAGTGCTGCATACCTTTCATCCAGTTTCATCCTATTGGTCCTCTTAAAAGGCTTTGTTGTTGTTGTTGTTTTCACTAATAACACTTTATTACTATTAAGCAAATTTAAAATAGTGGATGGAATTTGCAAGTCAGCCTGGAAAAACATTTCTTCCTTTAATTCAATTATCCACCCTTTCTGGATAGCATTTGGTGCATTGGATTTTCTTATCTAGCTAATTGCATCAGCTTTAATACTATTTTTTATAGCTTCTGCATGTGCTCAGCAGGTGCCTACTACATTTTTTTTTTTAATTTAGCTATCTTTTTATCATTATTATTTCACAGTTTGAAACTGTTTCTTTTTTTTTTCTTTTTTTGAACTTTAACACAGGACAATCACTGGTATTATAATATAATTTAGTATTTCTCTTTCAAACTGTGCCAAAGCAGAGAGGGACGTGGGGTGAGGGTTATCAAGCATGTGACCCTATTCTTAACACTACAAAATGCAATGCTTAAAGAATTTTGACCAGGTAAATGCAGTAAGACAGTGTTTGCATTTAAGTATAATGCCTTACCAGCTAAAGTTGACATCTTATCCGCGCTCCTCATCTCCGTAAAATATGTCATAATTCTGAATCACATAGTAATTGATTCCAAGTAATAAGGTGTCATTTACCTATACATGGAAAATGAATTCTTTTTTTTTTTCCCATTGATACATTATCATCAATACTTTCATTTTACCATAAACATAGTTATTGAGGATTTGTACTTTATTGTAGTTGGAAAATTCACACTAGCATGCTTAATACCATGAGTCCTAATTAAGCTGTAAAACATGAGGGAGAGACTTTACTTTTATCGGAAGACAAATGGTGTGTATGGCAGATTTCAAATCTTAAATTCACTATACATAAGCTTTTTATGCCTTCAGTCAGTAGCCCTTCCCGTTTAAAACACATAGGAAGACTAAGTTGCATCTTTGTTTGCAGTTATTGGAGCTGTTTTATTTTTCCTACAGTTCTGATGCCCTGATAGACCCTACAACTTCTACAGAATAGTCAAATCTCAAGTCACAAGACTCCAGCAGCTTGTTATTGTGACTTCCTGACTAAATCATGCCTACAGCCTTGTAAATGCATTCATATTGTACATAAATGTCATTATACGTTGCAGCTCCATTTGTAGAAATTGTATCTCCCACGGGCTTGCAAAATGAATACAGCTGCAGAATAAATAGAGCAGGAAGAGAAGAAAGCCAGTGTCCACTTGTGTGTCTTCTGCAGTACCACACTCTACCTGATACAGACTTAATTGTATTTGTGTGGCTGGATT